AAAAATATTTGTCTAGGTTATGCCGGACGTACGGAATTACCGGAATCAATCAAAGCTCTATTTCGACCAGTAGTCGTCATTGTACCAGATTTACAACAAATATGTGAAATTATGTTATTCTCTGAAGAATTTTCATTGGCAAAGATTTGTTGTTTGTTTCTATTATCATATCATCAGGAACAAATCACAGAGATTGTGCATCTACTGGCTAAAAATGGAAATTTTCTTTTTCCTCCTTCCGACACTGCATGTCATGTATTTATAGATTTTTATTTTGTACTAATAGATGTTGGCTAAAAAAATGACGGTTTTTTATAAATTATCTCGTGAACAACTATCAAAACAACCTCATTATGCTTTTGGTCTTCGTGCATTAAAATCAGTTTTAGTTATGGCCGATGAATTGAAACGTAGTTCAGCTGAACTTCCAGAGGTAAACTGTATTTCTCTTTCTGTTTTTTGTTTTTCTAATTATTGTCTATTTTATTTTTCAAGGACTTGGTGTTAATGCGTGCTCTACGTGATATTAATATGCCAAACTTTGTGTATGAAGATGTTCCATTATTTCAAGGATTAATTGCTGATCTATTTCCTGGATTGAAATGTGAACGAGTGACATATTCACAATTTGATAAAGCTGTTCGAGATACAATTACTTCAATGCATAATGTTATCGATGAAGTTCAGGTAAAATATTAACTTCTCTAACTGAATTTTGAATGTAGAAATACTCTAAAACTTTTTACAAATACAATGTGAAAAAAAACGAGAAAGTAAGATATTTTTGTGTTTAAGTTATGCTAGAACAAAAAGTGAGAGCAACAAGACAGATGACAAACAAAATATTGTATTCTTGTAGATTGATAAAGTAGTGCAATTATACGAAACAACGATGACAAGACATTCGACCATGGTAGTCGGTCCTACAGGTGGTGGAAATCGACTGTGATAAATATTCTAGCCCAATCACAAACGAGGTCCGTCAACTTCAATTATATGAAAATAATTTTTGTAACTTAATGAAAAAATCACCAATAACATCTTGTACTCGTAGATAGTGATAAATATTTCAATGTTAACTCAGACTTGACTTTGCTTTGTCTTTATACACATATAAAAATCTTTCCTTCGCAAAATCCTTTTATCGAAGTCATCTTAGTTGTTTTATCGCACGTGTTTTAGGATGAATTTACCAACAAAATTATATACATTAAATCCCAGAGATTGTAGTGTTATTGAATTATATGGCTTTTTGGATACGACAACTCGTGACTGGACAGATGGTCTATTATCAAATATATTTCGTGAGATTAATAAACCAACAGACAAAAAGAACGTCGTTATATCTTGTACGATGGTGATGTTGATGCATTATGGATTGAAAATATGAACAGTGTAATGGATGATAATAAACTGTTGACATTGGCTAATGGTAAACGAATTCGTTTACAAAATCATTGTGCTATGTTATTCGAAGTAAGTATTGATCGATCAATTTTATTATTCACAACACATTGTTTCTTATTTTATTGTTTAAAAGGTTGGTGATTTACAATTTGCATCATCTGCAACTGTATCTCGTTGTGGCATGGTTTATGATGATCCAAAAAATCTTGGTTAGAAACCATATTGGGTAAAATGGTCAACAATGAGAGAGAAAAAAGAAGAACGTGCTTGTTTAAATCGTTTATATGAAAAATATGTTCCACCTTTAATATCATTGATACTTGAAGGAACTATTGACGGTAAACAAGGTGAAAAATTGAAACAAATTATACCATTGACAAATTTGAATATGGTATGTATACTTTGCACATTTATTTAAACAATCTAATTTCTTCTATTCACCTTTTCGCTTTCTATTTACAGAATAGTCAACTGTGTTATATGTTAGAAAGTTTATTATTACCTTATGAAAATACCACTGATTCACTGATAGATCCGATTTATGAATGCTATTTTATTCAAGCATTGTACTGGTCACTAGGTGTTAGCTTAACTGAACTGGCACGAGAAATATTCGATAAACAAGTCAAATATCTATCATCAATGAATTCAACTGATGAAGGGCCAACTGGTCAAGCTAAATCTGGTATGTAAAAGAGAAGAGAAAAGGGATAAAATGAAAACATGTTTTATTGTTTTATAGATGAAATTCCTGTTCATGAAGAGACATTATTCGAATATTATTTTGATGCTGAACATGAATGTTGGACATCATGGAAACGTTTAGTACCAAAATATGTACATAATCCAGAAAAAAATTTTATGAAATACTTGTACCAACAGTAGATACAATTCGAAGTGATTGGTTACTACAATTGTGTTATAAAATAAAACGACCCGTATTGTTTATGGGTGAATCAGGAGCATCGAAAACAGCAACAATTAATGCATTTTTAAGAAAATTAAATCCAGATCAAAATGTATGTTGTCATCGGTATCTGTAATGAAATCAAATTATTTCGTAACATTGTTTCATTTTAGCTCGTATTAAATATTAATTTTTCATCACGAACATCATCAATGGATGTTCAAAGAAATTTTGAATCTAATGTAGAAAAACGTGCTAAAGATACATATGGTCCTCCTCCAGGAAAAAAATTGATTGTATTTATCGACGAATTTAATGCAATGTATTTATGCCGAAAATAAATGATTATCATTGTATTATTAATATTTAATGTAAATTTTTTTTGTTCTCTCAGGTCGATATCTGCGGTACTCAACAACCAATAGCATTGCTGAAATTATTATTGGAAAAAGGTGGCATGTATGATCGTGGAAAAGATCTAAATTGGAAAAAAATTTCAAGATATGGTGTTTGTTGCTTCGATGAGAAAAGTATGAATGAGTTTCTTTGTTATATGTAAAGATTTGTAGTGGAAGTATATTGTTTTGTAGCCTGGTGGTGGAAGAAACGCTGTTGATCCTCGATTTATATCATTATTCAATGTCTATAATATAACGTTTCCATCAGAAGAATCACTCTTTCTTATTTGTAATTTGATACTGGAAGGACACTTGTTGCCGTTCGATAAAGAAGTACAAGGTATAACACCAGTACTGACATGAATGACAATGGAACTCTATCAGTAAGACAAAACAACAAGAAATTAATTTTAAACTATTGCATACATTCGTCTATTTTCAGTTCAATAGTCAAAGATCTTCCACCAACTCCTAGCAAATTTCATTATATATTCAATTTACGTGATTTAAGTCGAATTTATAATGGTCTTGTATCAACAACACCGAAACGTTTTCAAACAGCTGCACAATTGACAAGAATGTGGAGAAATGAATGTTTACGAGTATTATACGATAGACTAATCGATTCACAAGATAGAAAAATGGTTGATGTAAGTTTAGCATGAATAACAACAACTTCCAATTAATTCGACATTTTAAAAAGCAGAATTTTGTAGGAGTCATTGTAATAAATTTAGATTTCTTGTTTCGATTAATTAGTAGTCCTTGGATAAAATGAAGTCTATCTAGTAATTCGATTGCAAGATATATATAATGAGGAAAAGAATATACTTCTCTCAGATTTTTGTAATGGTAATTCTAAATTGTAAAATGTTTTATGAACAATCGTTATGGAATCCATTATTTTGTTGTTAATTTTTTATTTTTTCATTTCAGGATAAACTTAGTCGACTGATAAATGATCAACCATTATCGAAACCACATGTAGAATGCATATTTCATCAACCAAGTTTATTCGGTGATTATCGAACAGCATTGGATGTCGGTGAAGCTCGAATATACGAGGATATTCAAGATTATGATGCAGCAAAAGCACTCTTCGAAGTAGCATGTAGAAAGGAATTTTATTTTCATTTAAAATACTCATTTTTGTACTTTAATGAATGAATATTCTTAGATATTACAAGAGTATAATGAACAATATACTCGAATGAATTTAGTTTTATTCGATGATGCATAAGAACATTTAACTCGTGTACATCGTGTCATACGTATGGATAAAGGAAATGCGCTTCTTGTCGGTGTTGGAGGAAGTGGTAAATCATCGTTAACACGTTTAGCTGCATTTGCCGCTGGTTGTGAAGTATTTGAAATCAAATTAAGTCGAGGTTATAGTGAACCACAGTTTAGAGAAGATTTAAAAATACTCTATAATAAACTTGGAATGGAAAATAAGAAAGTTGTATTTATGTTTGGTGATCAACATGTAGCAGAAGAAGGATTTTTAGAATTAATTAATAATATTTTAACAACAGGAATGGTTCCGGTACTCTTCGCTGATGAAGAAAGAGAAGGCACTGTTGGAAATGTAAGATTTAAATTTTTTTTCTATTTATATTTATGTTATAAACAAACAAATAAACAAAAGAATTTAAACATATTTACAAAGACTATAATATGTTTAGATTCGTGATGAAGCAATGAAAAATGGTGCTAGTCCAGCAAAAGAAAGTATTTGGAAATATTTTATAACAAAGTGTTCAGTTAATCTTCATGTTGTATTATGCATGTCACCAACGGGTGATACTTTAAGAACAAGATGTAGAAATTTTCCCGGTAAAATATTTCTTAATAAAATTGTTAAATCGATCATGTCATACGTATACCCTAGTAGAATCCGCGCTTCATTGCGCGTCGCGAAGCCATAGTAATCTTGTCACAATCTTGCCGCGCAATACCCAATTTGAATCGCGATCGCTATCGCGGACGCACATATTCGTGAATTTTTCGCGTTCCGCGCAAAATTCGCGGTTGTGTACGGAAACAGTTCGCGACAAGATCTTGATAGGATCGCGACAAGATCTCGATAGGATCGCGACAGGATCGCGACAAGATCGCGACAGGATTGCGACAAGATCGCGATAAGGCGGTAGCAAGATTGTGACTGAATATGCTTGTTTCGCCGCTCGATCGTGATTCGCATCGGCTGTTTTGCGACCGGATCGTGTTCAAATGCTTATATCGAGGCAAAATCGTGACTTCACAGTAAACCAGTTCAGGATAGTGAATCTGTAATTGTTAGCACCGCTGAAAGCTCTAAAATGAGGTCGAACTAGCAGAAAATTCAGCAGCTTTTTGTTTCGTTTATCGTTTTTGCTCGCCAAGTTTTAGAAATCAAAGAGTTCTGTCTCATGCTTCTACGAGGTTTCGTATCAAATGCCGCACTGAAGCCTCTACTATTTTGCTGACAACTTGGAGATGTAGACCAAATGCCGTTGCTTTAGTTCCATTAATATTATTTATTTTTTCATTATTTATTAATCGAATAAAACCAGCGATATAAGAAAACAGTTATGAAATATACAGCAGAGAAATGCAAAGAAATTTTCGATAAAAAAAAACATAAACAGTTTGATGGCATTGATGATAATTATTCATATGGTGTTGTGCTTGTTGTTTGGGATAATTTTCCTAAATGTAACATGATTAAGCTCTACACAATGTTTCTTCATTAAATTACTGCACTCGCTCGATATGTTCTAGATTAGACTCTAAACACGCACAATGAAGAAGTCTTAAAATAAATGTAATCAAGTATCGAAGATCGGATTTCGTCTAAATTTGCTCTGGAAAACCTAATAGTATTTGAAATCGTGAGTATTTTTATTCACAGTTATTTATGTCAGTAAGTATAGTATAAAACGACTGAAAAAACTCTATTACATATAATTGTCGAACTCTTAATTGGGACAGCTAACTGAATCAGTCAGACGCTCTACATATATACTCAAAGTATACAAATACAATTTTAGAAATACTTTGCACATATGAGCCTCTTGCAGACTTCTATAATGTCAATCTGAGATCGCATTCAGTATATTTTCAGTTCCTTTATTTGGGTCACTAGTAACTCGTGGGAACAACAACTTATAATTCTGATATTATACCGTGCTTATTGTTTTTAATATTTGATATATCACATAACATTGTTGTTGTTGTTAGTCGATCTAGCTTTTGTAGATTAACATTTTCATTATCAATACAACTCATAGTAGCAGTTTGTTCATCAAAATAATTTGATTTCTTCTTCTTTTTGTCTACTTTTCCTGTATTTGCATTCAATGTTTTATTTTTTTTTATTTTTGATGATGAATTATTAATATTCATTTCTACATCATGTCCTAATGTGTCGACATAATTATCACACGAATCTAATTCATCATCATCTGTATCTTTCGTTTCTAAAATATCTTCATTAGCACTTAAATCAGCCATTTCACCCTCACTCGACCACATTTTATCAAAACGATTTGCTTCCTTTTCACATTCATTTTTACTGCCTAAATAATTAGAAGATTTCAAAACCATAAAAGCGTGTGTTGAAAATGAATGTTATAAGCATTAAATGAGGTTATCTAAGGAAACAAATCTCACAATTTGAACAGAGTTTTGACTACAGAATTTATTTCGAAAAGTTCCGTTAGAAGAGTCAGACTAATAATAACATAAATAAACAGAGGGTAATCAACTATCCATTACAAAAGAATGAATCAATTTTCAAAATTTTAAAATTATCATTCATTAGTTCAGTGGGCCATTTTCTCGTTTTGTATATTACAGGTCACAAAGTTTTCTTTCACAGTATTTATTTTATTCAAAATAAATACTACATTTTACATCCACGATTGAAACAGTATTAAATAAGATATAACTGAAACAGGCGAGGAAAAATCTTCTTCCTTTTCTAGGTCCAAATTTAGAAAAAAATCTTTCGTTCAAATAAACATTAAGTTACATTTCATTACCTACCACAATAAACTACTTGACAAACATAATATTTCCCATTATGTTGACATCCCCAACGAAACGACTCTGTTTGTATAATTTTTGACAATGGATAAATACCATGTTTTTTCTCATCGAGGAAAAGCACAACACAATACTTTTTTTCATGTATATTTGTTACGTTCTTCCTAAGTATATATTTTCCTTTTTCCATCTGAAAATCAAAGTACAGTATAAAATGATATATTTTGTTCCAAAGAGCAATGTAAGACTTGATAAACACTTCAAAATAATCAACTCCTGAGATCCAACAGATCTAGTCTATGTGAGTTGAATTTGAAAGTTCTATTTTTATTGAAGAATGCAGTAGCATTTGAAAAGGCAAATACTAAAAAATGCTTTTCCTAGTAGAAAAAGTAAACCACTCAATCGAAAAAACATTTTTCGACCCGAAGAACACACAATTGGCACACAATGTAACCTAGAGTATGAAATAACATAACCAACAGATATTGCCATAAACTAATAAAAAACCACGGAAAGAGTCAACATTTGAGGGCACCTTTGAAAAGTGAAACCGTAATTTTTCATAAACTCGAAGATGTAAGTTAAAAACGTTTGTCAGAAAGTGATTATTTCTGTAATTCCACATTTTTTAATTCAAAAAAGGCGACTGTAAATTTCAGTGTAATTTTTGACTCCGGAATGGGATATATGTAGGTTTGTAGAGAAAGACTTCTTCTATCTAGTGGTGTATATATTATCAAATTTTGTTGCGTACCGTGAGTGAAATTAAAGGTAACCTCTCTTTTTTTAAACCTTTTTTAGTTATATATTTTTTATTTTTCAGTTAAATATTGCGCATTATAGGGTAAAGTGTCCTCTACAAAATAAGACCACTCCCAGCTCTCCAAGGCCTTCCGTTGAGGCGATAAGAATTTTTTTAAAGTTTGTTACTTTACTCTGAAAAAACCCTAGTTTTTTACTTTCGAAACTTTTTTCTCTCTTTCATTCAGTACTTGATAAACTTCTGAAACAGCCAGTCTGGTAGAGTAAAGATTTCTCTATAAGAGGAGATGTCTCCCAGCTCTTCACCATGTTTCCTGATAGAGTTATCATCATTTTGGACGTTATACCACAAATGTGACTATTTCAAAGACTTCCAGCAAAATGATGATAACTCTATCAGGAAACATGATGAAGAGCTGGGAGACATATCCTCTTATAGAGAAATCTTTACTCTACCAGACTGGCTGTTTCAGAAGTTTATCAAGTACTGAATGAAAGAGAGAAAAAAGAGGTACGAATACAGTACTTTTGAAGTATGTAACGAACAACATAACCATCAAGTCATGCTGTCCATGGTAAGATCGAAAGTAAAAAACTAGGGTTTTTTCAGAGTAAAGTAACAAACTTTAAAAAAATTCGTATCGCCTCAACAGAAGGCCTTGGAGAGCTGGGAGCGGTCTTATTTTGTAGAGGACACTTTACCCTATAATGCGCAATATTTAACTGAAAAATAAAAAATATAACTAAAAAAAGTTTAAAAAAAGAGAGGTTACCTTTAATTTCACTCACGGTACGCAACAAAATTTGATAATATATACACCACTAGATAGAAGAAGTCTTCCTCTACAAACCTTCATATATCACGTTCTGTGGTCAAAACCTTATAGTCGCCCATCTGTCTGCCAACAAGTTACGAGCTACATATAAAGCGCAGAATTTCACGGCGAATCTAATGGTATGCATAAAATCTCAAAAATAGGCAACCTTTTGACCCATTTATTATGGCCCATCCGTTACAAGGATGTAATTTTCCTAAAATGACCTATAAAACTATCACGGGGCTCACTCACCAATTATAGTCTATACGTTGATCGAGAAGAATGGAAGAGTTTAGACATTTCTCAAGTAAGTCAGTTCAATCCCATTAAATGCCATCTGTCTACTTATGAATTGGTTCTAACGGGAGAAACTGGAAACCCGTAAAAAAATATAAAATAAAGAAAAATGCGAGAAGTTGAAGATATATGACTGATATAACAGCTTTTCATTATCATCTTGCACGATGAACTTGGAAATGGGATAATTAGCTCCATAAATCCTGATCTTACTCGTTCATTATCAAAAAAAAATTACACTTCAAATAAAGCTTTAGAAAATCCTCAGAACAATTATCCAGAGGTCTATACATTTTACCTCATCTAAAGAAAAAATGAACTGCTAGTCAAAGATATGTGCAGATGTTGTCATTCAAGTGTATAGATTCGATAGTAAAAGCATATTTTGCATAGAATTTTTTTTTCGTAGAAAGTTGTTTCGAAGTCTAACTCTGGAAAATTTTGATCGTTATTTCTAACACAGCTTCTATCTTAGACTTCCCTAAGTTCTCTCATGTATTTCTCAGTTATGGATCGACATATAACCAGCATTTGACCTCAAAATAAAAGTGAGAACAGTTGT